CTATGCTTTCTTGAGGTTTTAATGCTTTCGCAGTAGCTAACGAAATACTTCTACTTAAATTAAACCTTTTTCGCTTGTAACCTGTAATGGGTGAGGATTTGAGTGCCTTACTAGTCTGTGATGAACAATGATATGATGGGTAATTTGGGAGCTCTAACCTATAGATAGGCCATCTCTTTCCTTTTAAAATTGACCAAAAGCTTAGGATTTATTCTTTTTATTGTGTATGGTGTTCTAATTTATTTATTTAATTATATTTTTCCTTATCTAGTGTACTAATCTTTCTTTTATTCATTTTTGCATGATTCATACTTATATCATGAAGTTGCATAAAGAATATTTGCCTAAAAAGATAGTTTTCAACAAAAAGCTTTTTCATGGATTCCACGAAACGATTGGTCTACTCTTTATCTACATTTGCTCTTTGTAAATCACCAAATGAGATGAAGGTTCAGTTAGAAAAAATCCAATAAAACAAAGAGGATCGTCTACAAGTCGATCATGCTTCCACCTTGTCTAAAGAGATATCTATCATCTTCAATCTAGAAGATTTGGTTGATGTATGGAAGAAAATGGGTCCATCAAAATAGAAGAATTTTTGTCGAAAACATGGACACATAACACACCTTCTTGCAGTGAATGTCGAGAATCAATTAATTAGAGTTGTTGTTCAATTCTAGGATCTTTCATACAAATGTTTCATCTTTAATGAAGTTGATATGACACCAACCATCAAAAAGTATTCAACTTTACTAGGTTTCCACCTTAAAGCTCCTGATAAGATATATATCAAGAAACACAAGTTGGGATTTCATAAGAATCTGACAAGCATTATAGGTATAAACAAAAAGATTGTGGATTTGCATACAATGAGAAAGCAAGGGCAAATCTATTTACCTTAAAAAAATTTTCATGATTTTCTAGTGCAACATGCCAACGAAGAGTAAGGGTTAGATGTGTTTGTCTTAGCTATATATGAAACGGTGTTCTTTCCAAAGGTTCTAGGTTACATTGAGATAGTTGTGGTTGACTTCTTCAAAAGTGCGATAAATGACTGCAACCTTTTGATGGTAATTTTGGCATAAACTATTAGATCATTGAGTTATTGTCATCAAAATGGAGGGTGTTTCATAAGTTGTATATAGCTATTGTATTAATGGACAAAAACCATTTTAAGTGTAAAAAAAGTGCATTCTCAAAGCTTTATTTTCGTAATCGAGCTTCAATTAAAGAATTTTATGAAAGTGAGTGGCCAAAAAAAAGTATAAAATAGAGTGGGTAGCTTTTTTACAAAAGCTGACGAGCACTAAAGTGAAATAATTGGTCCCATAGATGAATCAAGAACCTATGCTATATTAGTGTGGAAACAACACCGTGGTTTCATTTTTAGGTTTATGGGGAGTAACAAGTTATGCACCACTTATAATGAAAAGATAGTTTGGGCTAAAATAGTTCATTTTCATGACAAATTTTTGTCAGTCAAATTGTTCTTATAGCAAACCAAAAGCATTTCAAAAGATGAATGATGTGATTAAAGCATAGAAAAACCCCTTGTAGTATTTTAATTTTTCTCAAGGTCTACTATAATGTTTTTCATGAAAGATCACATCTTTGGTTCTTACTGTTTTTTTCTTCACTGGATCTCATATCCTATAGCTAAATTTCTCATCACTATATCCTACAAACACACACTATATGGCTTTACTATCAAGTTTTGATCTCTATTCTTTCGGTACGTGTCTTAATGCTTTACACCCAAAAAATTTCAAGTGAGAGTATGAAGCATCTTTTTCTGTCCACACTCTTTCTAAAATGTCAAAGCCTAAAGGAACTGATGGTGATCTGTTAAGCAAATAACAAGTTGTATTAACTGTTTCACCCCAGAATGGCTTTGATAATTTTGCCATCCTCAACATACATTTAATTTTTTTCACAATTGTGTGGTTCATTATTTCAACTATACTATTATGCTGTAGTATTTAAAGTTTTATCATCCCATACCTTGTCTTATACTTTGAACAGTACTTTTCAAAATCTTTAGATGTGTATTTTCCACTATTATTAGTCTGAATACATTTCAATGGTAGCCCTGTTATCCTTTTCATCATTGCATGAAATTTTTAAAAATACTATAAAACCTTATTTTTATTTTTCAACACATACACCAAAGTCTTATATGAAGTATTAGCAATAAAAGTAACAAAATACCTACTATTACCTAATGACTAAACTTTAATGGGACCACATACATTAGAATAAATCAATTTCAATCTATTTTCTTTTCTTTGAGAACTCTTACGAAAAGAAACTCTACAATGCTTGCCAAATAACAACGATCACATGAATTGAGAGACATACCTTTGGTCAAGATAATGAGAGACTGTTTTACCAAAACCTAAAACCCCTTCCATTCATGTGTGTCAGCCTCTGGTGTTATAAGTTTGTTGAAGCATCATCCTCAACGACATTTATCTAATTTTTGTTCAATTGCATCCATGTCTTGTATATTAAACAGTATGGTTTTCTCCTTACAACTATCATAGATTTTTTAAGAAGCTTTTTTTACTTTTTTTTTTGTCGATTCTCATATCCATCGTTATTAAAGATATTAATAGCAAGCAAGTTCATTCTCATATCCGAAATATGTCTAACATCCCTCAAAATCAATATGCAACCCATACTAGTTTGTACAATAATATCATTAATCCTAACAATCTGTGACACACTCTTATTTTTCATCTTGGTGAAACTAAAGTTTCCTGCTTTGTAAGTTGTAAATAACTCTTTCTTATGAACACAATGAAATGCCGTTACTGTGTCAATTATTCACTCAATGTCGGGATCACTAATATGATTACAATCATCATGTGTACAAATCAAAGCAACCAAATCACTATCTGAATTCACTGCTACAATATTATCATCATTTAAACTCTTATCTTTTTCATATTTTTCGCTCTTACTTCAAGATTTTACAGTATCATTTTATATGACCTACTTTATTATAATAAAAGCACTTCACTTTATCTTTAGATTTGGACCTATGTTTAGACTTACTACAGCTTGTTTAGTTTTGACCTCTATCGATGTTTTGACCTCTATTCTCTGTGACCAGAATAGGTTTAAATATTTTTATCTTGCTTCTTTATTAAGCATACTGTCCTTTATCATATCTAATTTCACATTGTAATCAATAGCTGAATTAAAAATAGTCATAATTAGAGTATTTCAGCTGTCTGACAATGAACTCAAAAAAAATAACATCTTCATTTCATCATTTATTTTAAGCTCTATAATAGTCATCCGATTAAATATATGTTAAAAATAACTCAAGTGCTTTGTAATCGATTGTTCGTCCATGTACTATAAAGTTACAAGCTTTTTAATAAGCATAACTTTATTCATACATGTGTTTCTTTCATATAATGCTGTCAATTTTTTTCAAACAATGTGGCATTTGTCTCCTGTGCTACATGATGGTACACATTAATATCAACCCATTTTTTTATTATAGCTAGCATATTTTTGTCTAACTTCTTTCAGCTTTCATCTTTCATATATGCTAATTTAGCTGAATCAACCAATATCAACTCATATAAATCTTTGCAATATAAATGATCTTTCATCATAGGCTTCCAAATTGAATAATTTGATGCTGTTAATTTTATCATAGAACTTGTATCACCCTTTATGATCTCAAATAGAATTTACTTTTATCTTAGGCTACTTTTGTGTCGATATCTCAAAATAACCCTTCCTCTAATACCATTTGATGGGTCTGAAGTAATAAACACAATAACACTAAAGCAATATTTCATAATAAACCCACAATAATAGACAATAATCAATAATCAATAATACATAAAAAATAAAGTACATCACGATTTACGTAAAAAACTTCCAATGTCAAGGAAAAAAATCATAAACCATCAGAAAAATTTTTACTATCAAATAATAGATATACAAAATTCTTCTTTAACTACAACTAGAACTAATCAACAACTAGAGAGACAATTGAAAAAATCTCATCAAATAAATGACTCAATAATTACTCCCTAAATTTATTCTTAAAGTACTTCAAATTTGATCTTGACTATTTAAAATATAAAACTTTAAATTATAAATTTATTGATAAAATTTTAATTTAATCGAATCACAAATCAACTTTTGTTTAACTATTTTTTTCTTGACTTTTTTTTTTATTTTGACGCCATCACCTTTTATTTCTCTATTACACAATTCTTTTTATTGTTTAAAATTTTTTATCAAAAAATTAAAATTTTAGACCTTTTGATTGACCAATACCAATGAAACTAGACCCACTCTTCCTAACACAAAAAACATCATCGTCATCATATTAATTAACTCCTGCTTTGATTCTGTCGATTGCCAGAAGCCACATGGTGCAAGAATTTTTGTGCCCACGCTTTCAATTCGAGGTTAGCTGCTGTCAGCCAAGGCATGCAAGTTGCAAGGCAAGTGACTCTTCTCTGTCAAGGGCGACAGCCTTTACCCTGCCCTGCCCTGTCCTGCCCTGCCAGCCGAGGCATGCAAGTTACAAGGTGCAGTTAGCAGGATTTCATATATAAAATAATTAAAGTGAGGAGTAGATTTTAATTCACACGGTAAAACGTTCTGACATCAAATAAGCAACGAGTTTGGACTTTGCCCTATCGGCTCTTGCCATATAGATTTTGGTAAAATAAAATTCAGTACTTCTGTTCATTGGAATTCAAAGTAAAAGGCAATGGAGACAAAAGACTAGAACATGATTAAGAAATATCATTTTCTTGAATTTCAAATACTACTTTTTAATCCAAGACTCGAAAACTTTATTTCTTAATTTGTACTTAGAGTGGTTTTTGTAAAATAAATATTGCCTTCAAATTATTTTCTTACTGCAGTTTTTTTTTTTTTTTTTGCATATTGTACAAGTTTTGTTCCTTAACTTGGAGCAATTCGTGGGAGTTGATGAATGATAATTATATTTAAAAAAAAAGAAAATCATGGTTCTAACCCATTCCATAAACCAAACCTTTGAAAAATTAAAAACTTCAAGAAGAAACTTGCTACTACTAAAAAAAGAAACACTTTGCTTGACCATAATGTAACACGAGTACAATAACCATACAATAATGACTTCACCATTTTAATTTATTCAACAAAGGCCGAACACCTATAATAACTTGAGAGCCATATTCCCCCAAAATGAAAGCCTCATGGTAAATCCGGCCCAATACTCGATTAAAACACAAACATCGACTAAAAGTACACACCCATTACCCAGCATAGTTGCCGATTATTACTTTATTACATAGGATAATCTAGAGAGGAAAACCCTGGATAAACTGGACTAATTCCAGGTTCCCCTTAACTTAAGAAGAGTACACTAATTTCTTGTCCCGAAGCACATATGATTTAATGGAGGCACCATACCCTGTCAATAAATCATAGTACCTATACCAAAGCATGACCCCTCCATATTTTGATGACTCGTTAATCACCGGAAGCACATCAGATATTAGGGTATCTGCTGGAATATACCCTCCTGATGGAGCTGCAGCCTCCGCCGCCGGTAATCCTAACGATATATTCCCTGCCACTACATTGGACGTCCATATATTCCAAGAACTTATGAGATTACCAACGTTTCCTGAACTATATTGGCACGGTGGATTGTTATAAAATTGAACCCAAACATTGTCAAAAAGGCCCGTGGCAATAGCATCCCCCATGTAATAATCTGGGTAAGGACATTGAGGAGCTGCAGATAAATAGACGCTTTGGCTTTTGGCTTTCAAGTAAGTTGCTAGATCATCGTAGTACAAATTCGATCCAAGTTCTATATCAAAATCGATACCATCTAAAGTGGCATCACCTAAGGGACCGGCAGATGTTCTTCCTCCCAAAAATGTGGTCCACAAATAATCTGCTACAGTTTGGGCATCATCTTGAGAAGTTAAACTGTAATTACCAGCTGAGCCACCAAGTGAGAGCAATACCTTGATTCCTTGGTCTTGACAATATGTTATTTGTTCTCCGAACACGACGCATGTGCCGCTTGGTGGGTCGCAGTGACCAGCCAGGTTGAGTTCAGGGGTTTGGCCACCACCGAATTTGATAAGGAAAGCTATGTTGATGTAATCATAGATTCCGGTATCACATGCCTCTTGTAAGGTTCCCTCGAATCCGTTTTGACCCCAGTAGGTGGCGATGGTGCCGGCATGAGACGTTTGGCTCAGTGCTAGAACTAGCAGAGAGATGAGTAAAGCAGTGTTACAAGTCATTTTGGAAAGAGGTAACAAGGGATGATCTCGACCTTAGGGGTATGCCTTCTTACCTTCACCTCCTCTTATCTTCTTATATTCGCGAATCGCGACGCTATTATTTTTTGTTCCTTTACTTTTCGATTTTCTTATTATTTTCAACACCTATCACGTGCAAATCTCTCTCCCCTCCACACCTCGTCTTTTCTTCGCGGCACGCTGGTGAGCTTTGAATATATATGACTTTTGCAAGAAATTTTTTAATTCTGATGTGGATGTGAGAGCCATCTCTTCCTCCCTCCAATTAATAAATTCACACTGTAAATATAATAAAGAAGCAATAAAATTGTGCAGAAAAAAGGCATATTTTAATGATTAGATAGTTGGTAGTATATGTGACAAAGCCAAACAAGTTGTTTTAGAATGGAGAAAATAAACTAACAAATTACAAATTAATAGACTATCAGTTAATTAATTTTCTATATTTTTTTTTATCAGCTTCTTCCTTGTCATTAGTCCTTACTAAACCTAACAATAATATGTATGTAAAGATAAGGAATCCTATTCCTCTAGCATGCGTGGAATTGTTGTTAAAAATTGGGTAGGAAGGAAATCACTTGGGCAGAATTAATTTGAGTAAAACGTGATACGTATGTATTCCGGGTCTAGAAGGCATCACAAAAACAGTAGCAAATAAAAAGATAAATAATAGTTTACTACTTACTGTTCGTGTATGGAATTTAACCCAAGCATGCTAAAAAGAAGAAAGATTATTCCATTTATACACATCCTTTCGCCTTTTTTTTTTATCTTCTATTAGGATTTTGTAAAAAAAAATAAGTTCACATATGAATCCACATTTATCAAAAAAATTATTAATTATAAGATAACACTTAATTCTACTTTTGTTATTTGTTATTTGTTTTATTAATAAAAATAAAAAGCAAGAAAAATAAATAATAAATAACAAAAATATAAATATAAAAGCACCAATTGAATGGAACTTTAATTATTTATTATTATAATTAAATCCTGGCGTTTCCAAGACAACAACATGCATGGAATTAGTCAGGATTTATTATTCAGAGCAAGCCCAATTACCAAATTGAAGGTATTCAGCCTTTTAAGAAGAGTGCACCAGTTTCTATTTCGTTTCTTAATATGATTCAATAGCTTGGCTGTACCCAACTATCCTATCAAAGTACCTACTCCAAACCATCACGCCTACGTATTTTGGTGCAGCTTGCATTATTGGAAGGACTCCATTTGTTAGATTACTGATCGGAATATACCCTCCACGTGGGGCTGCACCCATTGTAGCCGCTAACCCCCAACCTATGTGCTTTACGTTTGCCCTTTCATTCCATTGGCTATAGATATTTGTAAGATTATGTCTCCAGGAGTGTATTCGCAACACTCATCGTTAAAACATTGAACCCAAACAATATCAAGAAGGCCTGTTGCAATAGCTTCCCCCATGTAATAATCAGGATATACAGATTCTGAAGTTGCAGCCAAAAGAATAGTTTCGTCCTTGTCTTTCAGGTAACGCACAACATTATCATAGTATGAATTTGATCCATCTCGTATTATTGAAATTGATACCATCCAACACGGCATCACCAAAGGGGCCTCTCGATCCTCTATGATTAACAGCCAAGAATTCTTGCCACAAATACTCTGCCAGACCACGAGCGTCTCGCCTAGAGTTTGAAGTGTAGCTACCGCATTCACCTCCAACAGAGAGCAGCACCTTGACTTCGAGATCCTGGCAAAATTTTATCTCATTGGCAAGCTTCCTGCAACTAACGTTTGTGGGGTCGCAGTGACCGGCCAGATTGAGTTTTGGGTAACGACCACCACCAAATTCGTCAAGGCTGGCTATGTTAACGTGGCTGTGTGTATAGGTGGCACATGTTTCTGATAGGCTTCCCTCGTATGCATTTTGACCCCAATAGGTGCCAATGCTGTTGGCATCAAAGCTTTTGATTAGCGCGAGAAATAGGGAGAATGAAAGAGAATCCTGGCTTGAGATTTGCTAGACATTTTTTCAAAGAGTAGCAAGGATTTTCTCAATATGAGATTGTGCTGCGACCCTGTTAATATTTGCTCCCTTTTATATGGTTTAAACAGACATGATGACAAAATTCAAATCATTTATCCAGCTAGACAAAATCCCCATTTAGATAGAGGGTATTGATTGCTCCATGCAGCAAAATAAAGCTTGTTTCCTATCCAGTGGTCTGTTAAGAGTCCTCACTGACTCTCGTGGTCTGTTAAGAGTCCTCACCCACACACTATAACTTCAATATGTGTTCTGTTTTGAGTATTGAAGGACCCTATGGTCCAAAAAAAAAAAAAAAATCATTGAAGGACCCAAGAGGCTTAGCTTGTCTGAACTTATTTGTCTTTGCATGCATAATTTCAAGCTGAATTATTTGTTTTGGACAATGTCGTGGGGTACATGGGAAAATGTCTAACATCTCAAGTAAGATTTTTTTTCATCAGATGAGTTAGTAATGCATGCTACGGCCTAATAGGATATTGCATAAAAACACTTGGCTCAAGCCATAGATCAACGTATTTAACTAGGGAAAGTTACTGCATAGAAAACATGTCAAAAACTAGCGATAGGCATTAGAATTAGAATTACACTTTAAAAGCAGAAATACAATCATTCAGAGCACATTTATTGCTTTGCTAACGATTCTTGATCTTGAATCGATCTGTTTAGGTTACCGCATAGAAGCTTAAGTTAGGAAAAGAAAATGGTGAATGTTGGTCAATGTTCCAGTACTGCTCATCCCTTCATCATTGGAGACAAATGACAAAGTGAAATCAATGCATCATCTTTGTCCCGTAACTACCCAATACAAACCTTCGTTCCTTCCGAAAAAACTAGATAGGTTGACGTATCAAAACTTTTGGCGATAATATATATACACATATATATATATATATGCATGTATGTATACATGTATGTATACATGTATGAGTAGAGAATTCTTAGATTTGAATAAGAAATGAGAATTATCAAATATATTATTAGTGTAATTTTTTAAATTTATTAGTGAGGTTAATAGAATTACACATGTTTTGTAGACATCTTAATTGATCCGAGTTCAAACCCGTTGAACTTGGTTCAAGAGGGCTAGATTATCAAGCTCAATTATCCATTTTTTTATTTTTGGTTTTATTTACCATTTCTATTTTATATCATGTATTGATTATTCATTTATTTATTTATCTTTGATCTTTTTCATTTTTTTAATCTATTTTTTTATCTATTTTTTCTTTCTTTTCTCTATTAGAGGTTCAGATAATAATAGTGATAATTAAAAAAAAGAGAGAAAAAAAAAAAGAAGTTTGGCCATGTAGGGATGTTGGTAGAGTTTGAGTGAGATTTATCTTGCAGAAGATAAAATCTTATTTCTCTTTGATAATGCAAATAGAATCATGATTGATTTGAAATTCTCTTAAGTTTAATCCTATAAATTAACAGAAGAATCAATAGAAATAAACGGAAAAATTGAAATACACGGCACTACCAGTTTCCACGAAGCCAATTTTGCCACCATCTTTCACACTGTTCATCCTTCTCACCATTAGCAATCCACATCATCAATAGCCTAGCCTTGAAATTCAATTTTGTCTCCATCACCAGTCAAGGCCATACTCGTCTTAAACTTACCCTCAACAACCACTATTGTCAGTAGCATAAACACAGAGATAAAACCTAGCATCCAATTACGTAGCAACATTCAGGCAGGAAGAAGCCATTCAGGAGAGCTACACCATTCGAGTAACAGGAAACCAAAAAAACTATAATTTCAATTCCTATTCCAACTACCACAAATCACTCAATAAACAGAAGCAATTCCATCAACAAACAGAAAAATCTGAATCTGGCAGCGTCAATGCCAATTTGTCAAGCCAAATGCTTGACTTCGCCTTCATCAAAATCACAGACTCAAAAGCCTTATGCCATTGTCAGCCAAAACCCAACACCCTGTAAAGTGATTCCCATAATGTAATCACAAGCAGACCACAGAACATAAAAATTCACGAAGCTCACCTCCCAGTTAATTGATTCCGTGTTGAGCTATCCTTCAACACCATCCCCACCCATCGACCAACAACTCATCACCGTTGGGGTTTTATCGGACCATCGTCAGTCAGTTGCCCTAAACACAAATTCAAACAATAAACAAAGCTAAGTCAGAAACCATAGGAGATCAAAAATAGAAAAAAAAAAAAGATGAATAAAAGGGGAAACCCGAACCTACCCTGGTGGCAAGGATGACAGGCAACGATCGACATAACTTCTGAAAAATTCGAAAGGTGAAGACGTGGAGCTTGATGAGAGAAATTACATACTGAAAGTTAGAGAAGATCCGATAGTGGAAGCAGCTGAAACATAAAAGGAAAAAATCGAAACTTGAACATCAGATTTATACCTTTAGGAAACGATTTACAAAAAAATAAGCTCATATTCGAGACGATGAGAGCAAGAAGTAACGATGGAAAAAATTTTGGCTTGATCAATCGTTGCACGGTGGCGGAGAACGACGACACCGACGCAAGAATCTGGAAACCTTTAAAGTTTTCGACTAGGTTCTTTTGTCCCTAGAAATAGAAAGATAGAATGAAAGTTGTAAAGAGAAAGGAAGAAACGGTAAAATGAAGAGAAAAGCTTAAGAGCAGGCTTGTATAGGACCAATAAAATGGTGTCGTTTTAGCCAACGAAACTGGGTTCCTTTTAACCCATTTCAAGGATCCGCGTGTCAAACATTGGGCGATCCGACCCAGTCGCTCAACCCGATCTTCGATTCCAATCAAGCTTCGCGCCATTTGAGCTTCAAGATGAGTCATTTTCTTGTGTGAAATCGAGCCGCGGTGATTTTTTAGAGCCAAGCCGTGAATTGTTTTAGGTATTCTTTGTTTATTTTTATCATTTTGTTTATTATTTGTCATTTTTTTAATGAGTAAAAATGGATAAATGAATAAAAAAAATTTTTCAAATAAATATTTTTGAGAAAAAGTTAAAAGTATCAAATTTTCTTGAAAATAAAATCTTTAAAAAAAAATATTTCTAAGGAAGAGTTGAAAGTATCAATTTTTCTTAAAAATAAAATTTGAAGAAAAATATTTTTAAAGAAAAAGTTAAAAGTATCAATTTTTTTTGAAAATAAAATTGTTAAAAAAATATTTTAAAGAAAAGTTGAAAGTGTCAAATTTTTTATATAAAAGCATGAGTTTTTTTCTTATAAAATACAAAAGAGATCTATATCAAAAGTTAAATCATCATCAATTTTTCTTTTTATCTTTTTCCTTTCTTGAATTTTTTTAATGTTAAATAATCCGACGACGGAGCCTTTGCAAGAGAAACAATAGTTTTTTGCATACTCTTGAAGTGAAAAATTTTTTTAATTTTTTGCCAAAAGTATTGGAGTCAATTAAGAATAATTTTCAATAATTAATTACTTGGTAAAATCTTTAAGGCTTAATGGATAACACGAAATTGAGCTAGTACAATCGATGGACGTTGTGAGGGTGCTATAACTTTTTCTCACACGTAACCATACTCCCAGACCTAATCCTGATTTCGTAACATTGAATTTACCTTTTAGAGATACATAAGTCAAACTTAGGATTCCTCTTTAAAATAGACAAATTCAGTTAGGTGGTCAATCATACCTAAACAAAAAAGATTAATGGTGACTCTTCAAATCAATGTCTAGCAATGGATCCATGGATCTAGACGTTATGACAGTTTGACGAATCCACTGGAAACAGCTGAGGATCAAGCCAGCAAATAAATTTGTGTTATCCAAAAACCTAATAAAATTAATTTTTTTTTTTTGTAAAGATTTTTATGCATTCATTTTATTTATTTGATAATTATGTCATTCATATGCATGTGCATGACATGAGCTCTATAATCGAGCTCCGTCCCTCTAGGAAAGAGTAAAATACCTATGCTTTCGTGAGGTTTTAATGCCTCCATAATGGCTAGTAAAATACTTTCACTCAAATTGAATCATTTCCGGTAGTAACCTGTAATGGGTGAAGATTGGAATACCTTATTAGTTTGTGATGGATGATGATGTAAGAAATAATTTGAGAACCTTTAGTAGTCAAACCTAGCGTATAGTGTACACTTAAGAGTCCAACCCTAAGATGGAGCCCTTCTTATCTGTTGATAGATATAACCCGAAGACAGGACACAAGAAGGAATAATTTATGATCTAACCATTTTATGTCATTATCATATGTAACATTGTACATATGCATCATTTTCATATTAGATTTCATCCATGAAAATGTACATTTCATTCATACATCAACATATCATGCATAAATTATAGCATCTTATTTTTATTCATAATTACGGTATCAAGGTTCAAAGATAACTTCATTAACCAAGAATCTCACACAAACAACTCACCAGTACAATACAAGAGCTTGAGCCAGACAAATGGAATAAAAAATTTCAATCGTCTCGAAAGAATAAAAAAAGCTCAAAAAAAGCTAGAAGGAGAGTTAAATAGGATTTTAGAAACTCTGAACAAGTTAAATAAAAGAAAAGGTGTAGAGAAGAATACCAGCCAACAAGATCGTCCCTCACAAGAGGAGGATGACTTATTGTATCCTCTTAGTTTTACGCCACATCAAGTCCAACCCGCACAAGGTCTATCTATCTTGTAAGGTACATATACCCTGAAATGCCATCAACTTCAAATCCTTGACAGTATCATAATTATGTAAATTTTATTTTTATAAAAAAAGTAGTAAAACCAATTCAAGTCCCTGATTTAAACAATCCAAAAGAGAACGAAAAGTTAAAATTAAAAGAGAGTGAGTGACTGAGGGACTCAAAAGCTGATCAAAAGATTAGTATGCTAGAAAAGAGGCTGCGATCAGTGGAAAGAGTTAGTTTTTATGGTTCAGTAGATGCAACTGAGCTCTGTTTAGTCCCGAATGTTATTATTCCTTTAAAGTTTAAAGTGTCAAAGTTTAAAAAATATGATGGTACAAAATGTCCAAAGATTCACATTACCATGTACTGTTAAAAAATAGTTGCACATACTAATAATGAGAAGCTATTAATGTATGTGTTTCAAGACAGCCTCATGGGCTCTACTGCTAGGTGGTATGTTCAGTTACACAGGACTCGCATTCATTCTTGGAGTGATATGGCCCATGCCTTCATTAATCAATATCGACATATTATAGACTTGGCTCCTAATCGTCTTTCTTTGTAGAATATGAAAAAAAGCAACTGAATCATTCAAAGAATATGCCCAAAAATAGAGAGACATAGCCTCTCAAGTGCAGCCTCTCTTAACTGAAAAAGAGATCACCGTATTGTTCGTTAGCACTTTGAAATCTTTTTATTATGAAAAAATGATAAGGAATGCCATAAAAATTCCATCGACATGGTGATCTCAGGCAAAATCATTGAGAATGTCATTAAAAATGGTAAGTTGAAAAGAGGAAAAACCAAAAAAGTACTAGAGAAAAAAGAGACTAAAACCCAAGCTGCGAGCCTTGATAGACAATTTAAGGGATATCAACCCTATCCATCACAAGGTTATGCCCTATACTATTCTATTGTGAATAATATATCATCTTATCCTTACCAACCATATCCACAATCAGCTTACTTATCAACTTATCAATCAACCTTTCAAATACCTGTATATGTTTCTAGTCATATCATTACATCAGTTTCAAAGCCTAACAACCAAGCGAGTGATTTAAAGAGATTTTGAGATAATCAAGAAAGGGCACATATTGAGCCTATCCCTATAACTTATACTAAGTTATTCCCAAAATTGATCAAGAACAATTTGGTATCTCCAATTATGCTAGAACCATTGAAGCTACCTTATCCAAAGTAGTATAATGCTAATGTGACATGCGATTATCATAGTGGAAACACAGGTCATTCTATTAAAACTTGCCCTACTTTCAAATAAAAAGTTCAAAGTTTGATCCGAAAAGGCTTAGTGGGCTTCAACGAATCAAGGGGTAAGATGTTAATAAAAATCCTTCACCTGATTGCACAAGAGCATAATTTTGAAAAGGATGTTAAGGCTGGTTGAATGCTACTTATCACTCTAGGATTTCTTTTAAAGTAATGTTAAGATTTCATTTTTTCAATATGATTTCATTTGTTATCATTTTAAATAAAAGGCAAGTTAATGCATTTAATTACATTTTCTTTTTCGCTCAACCATTGTTCCATTCTTTGTCACCTTGCATAATTTTTCATTCTCATTCTCAAATTTCAGATGATGAATGTTTAGAAAATGATAATAATAATTTTGATATTTAATTTTGAAAACCCATTCACATTAATCTGAGGAGATTAGTTGAATAAAAGAAACTAGCTACTAGTAGATGTGAAATAGGTATGTCATAAAGATGTGTAGTTTGTTATAAAAATCCATGGCTTGTTTTTATATTCAATAGATGATCTTCAAGAAAAGAATTCACATTTGAGATAAAAAATGGTCATCTTTCTTTTATCATTCAAAAAACCATTCATTGCTACCCCTGTGAGCCTATTATGATTTTTTCTTCTAAAAGAATCGTGACCAAATATCACCCTCTACACTGAAGGGTATTTAAAAAAAAAAAAAAGAGGTAAAAGATTGTAAAAGGTCTCAAAGAAAGAAAGAAAAGCAAAATGAAAGAAAAAAAAAGAAAAGAAAAATGCCCCAAACAAGTTGAGGCAAAGTAATAAGAATCTTTTTGTAAGGAACGAGATGGAAAAAGGAAAAAAATAGTGAAATGAAGTGGAAAGGGGCAAAATGCCAAGTTGTTTCAAATGATAAGAAATGATCCTTTAGTTTTAAACTCTTTAAACAAATATTTTGAGTCTATTTTATCCATTTCTTTCATGACCCATCACCATGACCTACATTACAACCTTCAAAAGTTCATTTGGATTAAGTGCGAATGTTCGAATTGAATGATCGTATATTGAACTAAGGCATGCTCGTGATGAAATAATGAAATCGTGCTACATTACTTTAGAGATTGAAGTATGAGAGATACCACTAATGGATAGAAAAAGAAAAAAAATGAAAAAATGAGAAAAAATGAAAAAAAATGAAAAAAAAATGAAAAAAATGAAAATGATAGAAAAAAGAGACTCAAATTGAAAACCTAAAAGGGTGATTTGGGTGAAAAATTTTTGAATTGAGTGTTAGATAGACAGTTCACATGTATGAAAGATCAAAGACATTTGAAGATCCCTCAGAGCTAGGGGCAAAGTTCAATGAGCTCAATGTAATTTTGAAAAGTCAATGGAATGAGTTTTTGAAAAAAAAATTTGGATTAATGTTTAAAATTATCTAAATATTCATTGTTTGGATATACCATTCATCTCAATGACATGCATCCAATTTGTTTCTTTTTCCAATTATTTTTATACCAAACTCACTCCTCATTGATTGCTTTTTTTTCCAATGTACTGTATGCTCTTTTATTCTCATGTCCCTAGAATGAATCAAAGAAATGTATGATTGCATTGTGATTGTCAAGAATTAAAATAATAATGAATGAATGACAATGTGCATAAAAGAGGCTTGCATTCTTTTGAAAAGAAATCTATGACGATAAAAGGTAAAAAAATAAAGAGATAGTAGAACTAGAAAAAATGCCACATAAGATGGCTAAATGATGAATATAATGATGGATTGCTCAACAAAATGAATAGAGGGCAAAAATCTAAAAATATGATGACATTAAAAAATGAATATGGTGATGGATTGGTCGACATGAATTGTAATCAAATGATGACGATCAGTGGACGAAATTTATTCTGAAGTGGCTAGTGCTGATGAGCCTATGAGTTAAGTGATGGAAAAGAGAATATGGATCAGTTAATGAAATAGCTAGTGCTAAGAAGCCTGTGAGTAGTGACGCAAAGATTAAAGACAAAAACTTGTTTTGAAATTGCTAATGTTGAGAAACCTATGAATAATGATCAAGCGATGAAAATGATGAGGAACAGTTGATAAAACTTGTTCTAAAGTGTTGAGAAGCTAAAATGAAAAAATATAAAATGGTGGAGTTTTTAGAACTATATCACCATAATTATTTAAGATTTCATGACATTATTAACATCCGCATTCCATGCATTATGTTAGCATTATTGTTTGAACAATACATGCACATAATTTGATTAATTAAAACTTTGTTTGGACATGCATCAGCCAGCAAGCACTTGAATTATGACTTAAAATAGGGCATTATGAGAATCTAGATTGTTGCATTTTGCATCATTAAGAAAGTATTTGCATCATTGATCATGTCATTCAATACATACAAAATTTTAACTTTCGTAAAAGTTTGAAGCCCATTTAGAAAAGAAACTTTGAATATTTTAATGAAGTCTTAAATTTTTAAATGAGAATCTTTGAGTCTTAAATGAAAATCTTTAAGACATTTTCAAATGAGAATCTTTAAGTCTTAAATGAAAATCTTTAAGATATTTTCAAATGAGAATCTTTGAGTTTTAAATAAGAATCTTTAAGATATTTTTAAATGAAAATCTTTGAGTTTCAAATGAGAATCTTTGAGTTTCAAATGAGAATCTTTACGACGTTTTCAAATGAGCATCTTTGAGTCTTAAATGAGAACCTTTAAGACATTTTCAAATGAGAATATTTGAGATGTAAAACCTCAAAGTTTGTTGAATTGGAATCTTTGAACTAAAATGAAAAGTTTTTGGATGTGAATCTCCAAAATTCAAGCGAAAAGCTTTGAACTCAACTTTTGGATGCGAATCTCTAAATTTTTTAGTGAAAACCTTTAAACTTAGATGTGAAACTCTAAGATTTCTTGAATGTGAACCTTTGAACTCAAATGAGAAGCTTTAAGCTTTTGGATGTGAATCTCCAAAATTTGAATGAGAAATGTTAGACGTGAGTCTTGCAATTTGCAAATGCGAATCTTGCAAATCTGAATTTTTGTGTACTTGAAATCTTACAAGTTTGAATTCTTGAGAAATTGAAGTTTTGAAAATCAAATTTTAACGAATTCTTGTGAAGTTGAAAGGTTCTTGCGAATCTGAACCTTTAACTTTCAAACTTAGATTGTGAATCTTTGAGTTCCCATTACAAATTTCATCAAGTCTGATCTATGATTTCTTTGGACATGATTGTCTAGGAGCATTTATTTTTTCAAAGTCATTGAGTTTCTATTTAGAAGAGTTATGTTTACTTTTTCCAAAAAAAAAAAGATGAATATGTTGGGATGCTCATATGCAGTGTGTCTACGTCTTTTCACAATTCTTATTGCATAGGAAATGCGCAAATAAGGGCAGCTGTAGACACCTTAATTGGTCCGGGCCCAAGCCCATTGAGCTTGGTTCAACAGGGCCAGATTATCAGGCCTAATTATCCATTTTTTTATTTTTGGTTTTATTTATTTCTATTTTATATCTTGTGCTGATTATTCATTTATTTATTTATCTTTAATCTTTTTCATTTTTTATCTTTTCTTTCTTTCTTTTCTCTGTTAGAGGTTCAAATAATAATAGTGATAATTAAAAAAAAAAAAGAAGTTTGGCCGTACAGGGATGTTGGTAGAGTTAGAGTGGGATTTATCTTGCAAAAGATAAAATCTTATTTCTCTTTATAATGCAAACAGAATCATGATTGATTTAAAATTCTCTTAAGTTTAGTCCTATAAATCAACAAAAAAAATCAATAGAAATACACGGCCAGTGATCAAGGAAAGATCACAGAGAGAGAAAAATTGAAATACGCAACACTATCAGTTTCCACGAAGCCAATTTTGCCACCATCTTTCACACTGTTCATCCTTCTCACCATTGGCAATCCACATCATTAGTAACCTAGCCTTGAAATTCAATTTTGTCTCCATCACCAGTCGAGGCCATACTCGTCTTAAACTTACCATCAATGGCCACTATTGTCAGTAGCATAAACATAGAGACAAAACCTAGCATTTAATTACACTATAACGTTCAAGCAGGAAGAAGCCATTTAGGAAAGCTACACCATTCGAGTAATAGGAAACCAAAAAAACAATAATTTCAATTCTTATTCCAGCTACTAGAAATCACTCAATAAACAGAATCAATTCTATCAGCAAATAAAGAAATTCGAATCTGATAACATCAGTGCCAATTTGTCAAGCCAAGTGCTTGACTCTACCTTCATCAAAATCACAGACTCAAAAGCCTTATACCATTGTCAACCAAAACCCAACACCCTGTAAAGTGATTCCCATAATGTAATCACAAGCAAACCATGTAACATAGAAAGTCATGAAGTTCACCTCTTAGTTAACTGATTCTATGTTTGGCTATCCTTCAACACCATCCCCACCCATCAACCAGTAATTCACCACTGTTTAGGTTTTGTCGGACCATTGCCCATCGTCAGTCAGTCACCCCAAACACAAATTCAAAAAATAAACAAAGCTAAGTTAGAAACCAAAGGAGATCAATAACAGAAAAGAAAAGACGAATAAAAAGGGAAACCCAAAACCTACCCTGATGGCAACGATAACAGGCGACTTCTAGGAAATTTGAAAGGTGAAGACGTGGAGCTTGACGAGAGAAATTACATACTAAAAGTTAGGGAAGATCCGATGGTGAAAGCGATTGAAACAGAGAAGGAAAAAACCATAACTTGAACATCAGATTTACACTTTTAGGAAATGATTTATGAAAAAACAAGCTCATATTCGAGATGAAGAGAGCAAGAAGTAACGATGGGGCTTGATCGATCGTTGGACGATGACGGAGTACGATAACATCAGTGCAAGAATCTTGAAACATTTAGAGTTTTTAACCAAGTTCTTCTATCTCTAGAGAGAGAAAGATAGAACGAAAGTTGTAGAGAGAGAGGAAGAAACGGTAAAATAAAGAGAAAAGCTTAAGAGTAGGCTTTTATAGGATCAATAAAATGGTATCGTTTTGGCTAAGGAAACCAGGTTCCCTTTGACCCGTTTCAAGGATCTGCGTGTCAAACGTTGGGCGATCCGACCCAGTCGCTTAACCTAATCTTCTATTCCAATCCAGCTTCACGCTATTTAAGCTCCAAGCTGAGTTGTTTTCTTATGTAAAGTCGAGCCGTGGTGATTTTTCGGAGCCAAGACGCGAATTGTTTTAGGTATTATTTGTCCATTTTTGTCATTTTGCTCATTATTTGTCTTTTTTTTAATGAGTAAAAAAGGATAAATGAATTAAAGAAAAATTTTCAAAAAAATATTTTTGAGGAAAAATTGAAAGTATCAATTTTTTTTAAAATAAAATCTTAAAAAAAAAACATTTCTAAGGAAAAATTGGTATTCTTAAAAATAAAATTTGAAGAAAAATATTTTTAAGGAAAAAGTTGAAAGTATCAATTTTTTTTTACAATAAAATTGTTAAAAATATATTTTAAGGAAAAATTGAAAGTATCAATTTTTCTTGTATAAAAGCATGAGTTTTTTTCTTATAAAACACAAAAGAGATCTATATCAAAAGTTGAATCATCATCCATTTTTCCTTTTGTCTTTTTTCTTTCTCGAATTTTTTTAGTGTTAAATAATCCGACGACAGAGCCTCTGCAAGAGAAAAAGTAATTTTCTTGCATACTCTTGAGGTGAGAATTTTCTTAATTTTCTATCAAAATATTGGAGTCAATTAAGAATAATTTTCAATAATTAATTACTTTGTAAAATCTTTAAAACTTAATGGATAACACGAAATCGAGCTGGTACCATTTTTCGATGGACGTTGTGAGGGTGCTATAACCTTTCGCACACATAATTGTACTCCCGGACCTAATCCTAGTTTCGCAGACATTGAATTTACCTTTTAGAGATACCTAAGTCGAACTTAGGATTCCTATTTAAAAGGGACAGATTCAATTATGTGATCAATCACACCTAAACAAAAAATATTGGTGGCAACTCCTCAAGTCAATGTCTAATGATAGGTCCACGGATCTAGACGTTATGACATATTTTATGATATATTTAAAAAATTAAAAGAATTAATTAAAAAAATAGAACATATGTCACCATATTAATCCTATTTGTAAAATTAAAAAATTTTACTGATAATACATTAAATAATTTCTCAAGAAAAATTATCATGACAATATATACAAATTTAATACATAACTTATAAACTAATTATAATAATAAAAGAATAATATATTAAATGACAGATCCATACATAAAGGTAAAATATTTATAGATATCTTCCGAGATTAAAAAATTAAAAAAATTAAAAATATTTTCTTCTCAATACCTTCAAAATTTTCTCCCAAACAATCTTTTTATCAATAGAATAATTTTTTTTTTATTTTTAGTTAAATGTTTATTTAGTTATATATATTGAGAATGATGTATTTGATAATCTTAGCAATAATATAATTATGTCTTTTTTTTAAGATATGAAAACTTATCACGCACAAATAATATAAAAATATATTATTTTAAAATTTTATTATAACTTATATATATATATATATATATACAATAAATGGATATCTAAAAAAAATCTTGAATTTGCTTCTATATATGTACATATAAAGTAGGAATCCATTGACCTTAGTATAACTCTCACACTTTTTTGGATCATTAGATCAAATTTACTAAATTTAAATATATTATTTTGATTTAAATGAGTCATAAATTTAATTTTGATCTAAGTAAAAAAAAATGTAAGAGTTACACTAATTTAAATAAATCCATCTTCATATATATATATATATATATATTAAGATATATTTAGTTTTGCAAAGAATAAATAATAGTAAAAAAAGAATAAAGTAATAATGATGAAGACTAATTGGAAATCAATTAGGTTTAATTTTCTAAATTATTGTGATGGTATTTATACCTGTGTATATATACAAGGCTTAAGACTGTTATAGAATTGAATGGAACAAAGTTAAAAAAATGGGCCGGTGCATTGGCTTTCCCCCCACATCCTGATAAGGGTTTGGACATTCATGAGCTACGGATAAATATATAACCTTCCGGGGCTTCTGCCTTCAAGAAAGCGGACAAGATCGTTGAAGTGCACATTTTGAGCCAAATTTTCCATCTTATCAAACAAAGTCCACATTTAGCACTGTTGTTAATCAAAGATTCTGTATATTTAGTTCAAAACTACTAACAGCACCGAAGAATCCAAATCAGCTGCGATTCACCAGAATAATGAGTGGAAGAAAGATATATACACTCCCAAAAGCTTCACTTCAGTAAGTGCATGTGCGACCAAAAAAACATCTATTAAAAGGACATCAACAAAGGGTTCCACAAAAGTTAGTGTTCACATTTTCACTATTTCTATCCAGGGAAGCAGCTTCATATTAACAATACATGACCTCAAAGATCATATGCTATGTGCATGAAACAGATCTAATAATCAAAATGACCCTACTGCTCTACCCTAACCGCTGCTACAGTTGAATCCACATATTTAACAACAATGATCATCACCTGCACACCAGGAGTATGAACAAGAAACCAAGACTAGTGCACCATCAATCATGGAAACCTCCAAGGGGCAGTAGCTATTTTTTTAAAATCACGTGAGGATTTCTGAATAAGTTCATTTAGAACCTCAACATCCGACTTCAAATTACCAACCTTAACATTCTTAATCTCCTTCTCTAACTTTATGGAAGTGTGTCGTTCTTGTAAATGAGTAATCTTCTTTTCAATCTCTTCCATCTCTTCGTCCAATTTAGTTATCTCCTTTGTATTCTCAATCATCTCCCTTTCAGCATTTTTTCTTTTTTCTTGATGCTGTCCTTGAGCTTCTTTGATTGACAGTAATTCATTCACGCGACATCGAAGCAAAGTAACATCAAATCCATGCTTTTCCAAGTCATTAAGACTTTCCAAAATGCTGTCAAATGTATATCTAGGGTCATCAAAATGCAACATGGATATCTTCTCAAACAAACCAGCAAAAGTTACCATGATACCAATTGCCGATCCTTCACGAAACTCCTCTCTATTTTCATTCAAAGGTTGAAAATGCGGCTTTTGGGGCACAATTTGGAAGACATCCATAGATTCAATTGTTCGCCAGACAGGTGATTTCTTCACAAAAGGCAAACTCCGATCATCATCCAATGGTCGTCTACCTCTGGCATCAATTGCAAGAGATTCTACTGGAACTTCAACCAGTCCCTCTCTTTCATCATTCCATCCATTGACATGCTTATCAGAAGAAAGTCCTAAAAGAAAATATACTCAAAAAATGTCATCAATATAAAAGCCAAGTGATGATTTACATTTATGTACCCACTAAGCAAGAGAGAGAGAGGAAATCAACAACAAAAGAAAATGAGGTCTCATATATCTGATGAAGCTGCTTACTTGATTCTTCATCACCTGAAGAGTGGATTCCACCTATCCATGTTGATAGTGGTTGATCCTCATCAGCCGTGTTGGAAATCCCAACAATCGCCAAGTGAACCTCTTTTGTTTTGTAATCATCATTTTTCCTTCCTCTAAATGCATCTTGAGAGGCTATACAATTAACAAAAAGGATGTTAATTTACAATCTATAAGGTGAGTAACCATAAACTACAAAAGACAAAAAGATTCTCAGACTTAATTATATCTAAGTTGGGTAATCTACAGCAAAAGAAAGAAGAAAAGAGTGGTTGGTAATATGCGTAATCTTTCCTACCAACTTCACCCTTCCCTCTCCCACCCTCCCATGCAACAAAAATTTCCCCTTCTTTCATGTGAATCACTAGCCCAATCTTTTTTCCTAGTAATTGCCCCCATTATACCTATTATTCTTCTATCATTTAAGAAATTGCTACACTTGGGTTGAAACATTGGAAGTGTGTACCCCATTGGTTCCCAAAGAGACTTGTATAGCAGTTTTGTACTTTCCTTGAGGCATACTAGTGACATTGACAAACCAAGAACAGAGACCCCCTTGTACCTGCCAGCTCCACCCCTTTATGTTTTGACAAATCAGCATCATCAGTCATACAATCTTTTACAGCTTTTTCATCAGCAAGACCACCAGCCCCATTTTGCTCCTTACCTACAAATCGTAATCCTAAGTTTACGTAGATACAGATTTACATATACCCATCAAAAAACTGAAGCTTAACTTATCATATACCAGCATCATAAGCCTTTGGACTTGTAACTACTGATTTACGTGGTCTTCCCCTCTTTCTTTTCAGATCATTTACTCCAACTTCATGCTCTTTTATTTCCTATATCAGTAAAAGACCATCAGTTAAAAGAACTACTAAAGGAACATATATATAGGAAAATAAATCACTGAAGGAGATTCCCATTCCATGTTTGATACCATATACAGATAAAGACAGAGGACAGGAAGCCATCTCAAGAAAATAGAAAATTTTAGCAAAATGAGCTAACAATACTAAAAAATTAACCATTTAATTAGGTATTAATTGTAAAACAACAACATTAGATATAATTGTTTTCTGCCTATTAACTATTTCAAATATACCAGTAGCACGTCTACACAATTTGCTCGCAAGAAAACACCATCAAAAGATGAACATCAAAAAAGTAGGGGTGTTGCAAGAAAATGAAAGCAACATCATTTCATTTCAGGGGTTCAGAATGGGTTAGAACAATGACAAAATTTACATGCCAATCTTTTCTCAAGCCAAGTCTAAAACCAAGCACACTATGGCAAAATTGCTCAAGTTTTATAAGCATTTGAGAAATGATATCACTGAAGGTGAAAGTTTGACAAAAATATAGTTCAGCAGACCTTAAACTTGACCACGAATGCTACATACCTATGATCATGACAACTAACCATAAAGAACGATAGCTCAGTATTAAACACTTCAACAGTTCAATGACACATTTTGTTCCCATTAAGAATTTTAGCCACTTGAAATTTACAAGTTTATCTTGGCAGTTTTCTCAGCCAGAGACTATTAAAAGTTTTGCTTACCATGTTTTCATTTCTAACTGAATCATTTACATTATTTTTTTGATCCCCCATTAGCTTCAGAGATTCCTCGTTAGGAATCTGAAAAGAATTTTCAGCCTGTAAAGTCTTTGTGAACTTTGCTGTTAATCCTAAGATGATAGGCATTTCAACTTCTTTTGGTTTAACCTCCCCTTCATTAATTACTTCTGCAGTACCTGCAATTCCCTCCTTGCCTGAAAATATGTAACATGCATTATTTTAAACAATATATCAAACCAGCGCACATGTACCAACAGCTATAGGTACCTGCTGTCAAAACCTGTGGACCTTTAGTTGGTGACTTTCTAGCTCTTACGGTCCTTTTCCCAAGGCTATTTGTTTTACTGTCAACTGAACCAACTTTCTGCCTCTTAGTCATCTGCATTAGTAAGGGGAAATATAGTTCAATAAAAGTAGTAGAAATAGTGCTGTTCAGGAATAATGGCTGATGGAGCCAACAAAACAAAAGTGCCAATAATCAATGATCATTACCCAGCTAGAACGGTGATGTTGACAGAAAAGGCAGTCAATCGAAGCAGTTTGCTGCAAAGCAAGTGGGGCACATTGAATATCCCAGTTGAAAAACAACTTTGCTTAACACTTGAAACAACCCATTGACCAATATCAACTACGTCAAGCAGGCCAAGTTTTGATGATATCATGTCGACATTGTTTTTTGTTAGTATGATTCTAAAGGAGCAAGCTAAAGTTCATTTATTCTTTGTGTATACCTTGTAGTGGTTACACTTAAAGGCACACGTGATTTTCTAACATATTTTAGAACAAAACATACTCCTAACACAAAAAAGTATTAGGAGCTATGTGCTTCAAAGGAAAGGCAACTCGGACACAATAAAGATACCAGAGTAGTAAAGCATACTGAATTTAAAGTGATATTTATACATTTCTTATCATCAAACAGGAATGTACTAAAATGTCCAAAAGAAAACAAAAAGAAAATGAATATGATCCCAGCGGTGATAATATGAACAATGAAACTACAAAAGATGAAATCTAACTCACAGTTGTGGCTCCTGTTAAAGAGCTCTCAGTATTAGCACAAGACTGATCACCAATCATAGTTTTCTTCGTGAATCTAGTTCCTGTACCTCCGGTCCTAGAAGTGCCTTCTTTACATGAAGTGTCATTAGGCATATCTTTCAACCGGTCGCCTGTGACTGACAATGGTGTCCCCACTGTGTTTCCATCAGTTAGCTTTTTCAAAGGCCGGGAGCGGGAAGTGTTACCATTAGATGTTTCCAGTTTGACCTTCTTCTTGCTTGAGAGCAAGGCATTCTTTTCATCAGTAGGAGTTGGCTGCTCCATCAAATTCTTGCATAGATTTGTCAAAGGAGTCTTATCTTCAGAATTATCCTTTGAGGAAAACAAACTTTCAAGTTCTCCAACCACCTCAGCATTGTGGGTACCAGGGAGAGCATTTCCTATCTGTTCTTGCTCGTCAAATGCAATTAAGACTCCCTGAAACAAAAGACTATTGCTTAAGCTACTAATAAATGAATGACATCTGCACTCGCATGCCACTAAACTTCTGAAATAATCACAACAAAACATTCTCAAGCCACCATAGAAAGTCTAGATGATGCCAGAACTAGTACAATATTTAAGGCATTCAACTCATCAACTAGTTACTTGTAAAATCTGAGCAGATTTTAAAGCAAAGTGAAATGTATAATCCACAACTAGTTCAACTTATCCATCTAGAAAAAGTGGAAATAAGAGTAATAGAGGAGAAAAAACATAAAAACCAAGCATTTTTCAAACTGAAAATATAGAGAAGATCATTGAAATGACCAGTAATCAACTTAGACACAGTCAAAAAGCACTATTTCAAATAGGTATTTCCTTTTCCTTTCAAGATAAATTTAAAACGTGTGCACAGGCCCACGTCCAGCACCAAAAACACAACATAAACAGCTCATTTAAATTTAAAGTGGGAAAATAATGGCAAAAATAAATTTATCTCCCAAAAAGAAGAGACAGAGAAAGAAGATACCTTTGATTTACTAACCCATTTGCCATCAACCCATTCAACATGCGGCCTCATATCCGAGTGATTGAGTTCCTTGTCCTCATTTCCATGCTTAAAAAAGACATTGTACCTTCTTCCAGTAAGAACTTTGGTAATTACTCCACTTCGCCAACCAAATTTATATGTGGTATCCACTCTTTCCAGCAATTCATAATTTCTATCTGCATAACGAGGAGGAGTGGGTCTGATGAGGAGGGAATCTACAACAACTTTTCCTGTCCCCGACTCATCATCGTTCCTAGAGGTCTGATACTTCACCAAGAAAGTATTATCCTCATTTTCTTTTATGACTATGGCAGGGAACCAAACATCACGTAAGTTTTCTTTGTCAATATGGACCTCCACTGCTGTCCCTGAGCTAAAAATGGAGCCTGTTGATTGCTTTAAAAAAAATAAAATTAAAAAATAAATCACTCACATGGTACAAAAAGTCATCAAGGCTGCACATATCTTCACTTCCACAAATGACATAATGAGAGACGACAGGCTAATACAGTTTCAAGAAATAACAACATAGATGTATAAACTTTTACAAATAGATGCAGTGTATAAACCAATATATAAATACGACAAAAGAACAATTAAATCTGACATAGCCGAGAAAAAAAGCAACTACATTTGAAAAAAAAAAGCATGCATTAATCACGAAAATTACATAGTTTGTGCGGCTACAATCGCATTTAGCAACCGATTGAATTAGCATGATTCCAAGGCCAAAATAGATATCTAAAAAAGAATTAGCAGAACTAAAACAAAGAAAGCATAGCAAGTGAAACATATGGTTCAAGTTAATTAATCAACTCAAGCCCTAAAAAGACCCTAACCATCCTATATGCTTTTTGCGGTAATCATGAAAACATTATTCTAATAGCAGTTTTTCAAGGTAAAAGCTACATGCAGTGAGATCCGTAATATAAATAGGCAAAAAATTATTCCAAAAAGTAATGTAACCCGCAATATAGAACACAAAAATTGAGGTCTCAAATCTGAAATAAAACCCAAAAATCCCAGATTAAAAAAAGAAAAAAAAATGGGCAGGTTAGCACATACCTGCTTTTCAGGTCGAACCCATTTGCCATCGATCCAATCCCAATGAACCCTCAAATCTTTCCTATCAAACTCAATAACATCAGGTGGATTATCGAAATAAACCCTATATTTCGACATTTCCAAAACCTTTCTCACAACCCCAGTCCACCAACCATCCCTATACCTCGCATCTACGACGTCGTTTACCTCAAACCCTGGCTTAACATCCTCCTTCTCTTTAGGTGGAAACGGCCGTATAAAAGCGGGGTCGACGTATTCCGTCAAAGGGGACGAGCCATCTTCGGTGAGTAAAGTCCTGTACTGAACCAACGCCTTCTTGCGCTTCTTAGAAGTGGATTTAGGAGGGTATTCGAGAATTGTAGCCAAGTACCAAGCGCCTCGAAAGCCTTCCTCATCGCTGCTGACCTCGACTGGGGTTCCTTTGAGGAAGGGTGGTTGTTGGGATGGGTCAGTTTCAGGAGGAGGATTCACCATTTTTGTCTAGAGTGGAGTGTATGGTCTGGAATCTCTCAAGCAGAAAACCTACGGGGCTTTCCGGTTTCTTTTTTTTTTTTTTTTTTTTTTGGTCTTAACAGTCAAACTGCTCCAAATTTTAAAGAAAACAAAAGTTTACAGCTTTTCCTTTTTCCTTTTATTTTGACGATTTCTTTTTTTATTTTTTGTGGATTTTTGGGTGATTATATTAGCAATTATGCATTTACATTAAAAAAGAAACAACAAAAACATATGCTAATACTGGCGCCGATCTTTTTAATTTTAAAAAGATGCGGGCTCGAATAAACTCACACGTATAATATTTTTTCAGATAAACACAAAGAGCATGAGGTTAGAGTAGATTAAGATATTAAAAAATACTAATACTTGTGTTTAATTTAAGTTCCATTTTTTAACTTTATAAGTATATTATAAAGTTTGCATAGACAAAAATAAGTAATATATAAATAGTCCTCCCATTTTTTATTTGATTAAAATAAACTTTAACTCAAAAGAAAATGCCATGAATCAACAATTTTTCATTTATAAATAGTTCTATTAATTATGTTAATACAAGTTAACAATAGTATTAATTATGTTAATTGTTGTTTTCTTTAATTTAGTGATTGTATAATGAAAAATCGAAATATGAGAATATAACTTTTAGGTGAGCTGTAAATGTTTTTTATTTTTTTACTATATATGATATGTCACGGATGAATTAAATAATAATATAATTATAAGATATAATGAATGCTTTTTTCTTATTTTACTTTACAATAATAAAATCAAATCACAAACATTTGTTAATTAACATAAGATTATTTTTCCTGTATATTATTTTTACAAGATATTTGATTTATTTAAGAGATTGAATGGAATATAATGAAAATCCTTCATGTATTCTCAAATATGTTGAAATGATCTATTACTTCTCTTTTTTATGAACAATGTGATCAAGTATCGTAACTCTTTAAATTATGTTGTTAAATCAACCGATTTATCATTTTATTGGACAATTTTTAAATCTCAAGAGATTTTACAAAGGGAGAGAATAATTTTTTAAAAAGTTTAAATGCTTGTGAAATCATATTTTCACTTGTACCTTAATCACTTCAGTCGATCATGGAAAGTATATCTGTTGTTATTTGCATATAAAGATTTTACAAATGAAAAGAATAATTTTGTCATTTCAACTAATAATCTGTTACTATTTACATATAAAATATATAATTTATTTGTTTCTTTTTACATATAAAAGATATTGTTATTTGTAACTATTTAAATTTAAAATTATGTAAAATCCACCAAAATTTTATATTGAGCTTATAATTATTAATGATGAATTTGTATATAATTTTTGTATTAAAATTTTATAAATAAAATGTACCTTAACAAAATATAGCCGAACATTTCATTGATTCTAACAATATGATGTGAGCTCAAAATACAACCAACATACAAATTTAGTTAGACTTCTTGATAATTTTATTATTTATTTTTAAATATTTTTTAATAACAAAATGTCAAAAAGCAGACCAAATAAAACTTTTTTTTTTTTTTTACATTTTTTATATCTCCGTCATCATCGACGGTATTAGAAACCTTTTGATTTTTATTAAGTTAAAAAGAGAGTAAGGAAAACATGACTTGTTTTATCATTTTTTTATCTTAAATATTTATATTCATTGACATATATGTAATTATTAATTTGATTGTGATATTTCATTTGTGAATTAGTTAATTTAGTTATAAATTGGCCAATTTCACCTTTAAATTTATTCAATTAGTATATGTAAAAGAGGATAAATATTTGAAATAAAATTGACAAGACACATGACAAAAACTATATAATATGAGAGCACGTGATCACCACTTTGACACTTTATTAATCTATTCAAAATATATAAAATTACTATATACTTTAGTCACGATTTATTTAATCCGTAAGGAAAAAAATAACATCTCATAATTTTTTAAATTATTTCATGTATCGATAAAAATTTTAACTTCACAAATTGATTCAAACAATTATGACATGTTTATTTCAAATTATATTTAAAAAATAATTAATAATTGTTTTGTAAATGTATTTTAAGTGAACATGAATAAGCTTTTAAACTTTAATTAATTGTGAAGTTAAAATAATTTCAGTTACAATATTAAATAATAATTTTTGTACACATTAAGTTTTTGAATTATATAAATAATTTTTCTTATAAACTATTATATTAATTTCAAAATCTTCAAAATAAATATGATAGTATTATTTTTTTTTTTTGTATTTTACCTTCAAGTGGTGATTGATACGGGGTGATTACTTAAAAAAATTAAAATAATTTGAATATCGTGATTATATCATCACATCTGATAAGAACTCGATGATCTTACATAATAATAAATTTAAATTATCGAAAGTGATTAAATTATTATCTCAAAAAGTATCATAATAGATCTATTTTTAATTCAAAATGATAAAATATGTTTATTTCAAATAAAATGAACTGCAAAATTAATTATAATTAATATTAACCCTTTAATTTATGAATTAAAATTTTAATTCTTCTATAAATTATAATTGTATTATAAATGTTTGTATTTTCAAAATAATATCCATTGTACCAATTTTAAAAATAAATTGCATGCTTTCTTTATTTTTAATATTATATATGATATATTTTTATTTTTTATTAAAAATTTAATTATTTAATTTTTTTTAATTCAAATTTTTTTAAATAATTTATATTATAAAAGTTACTTTATCAATCAACATCAACAACATACTAAATCTTATATTCTATACTCTGAGGTCAATTGTATGAAAAACCAAATAAGATAATCAAGTTATGTTATAGTTTAAATCTTCTTGCCCTATTCATTTATATCAACAATCACCTTTTTATCTAATTCTTTAACCATCATATATTTTTTTTATTATTTATATTCATACATTTTCGCAATCAACCTCTAAATGTTTTGATATTTATTAGATCTAAATATTCAATTATCCTAATCGGTGTACAATTAGGCCAACATTTTCACATGTCTAAACTATTGCAAACGGTTCTTTATCATATTCTCTTCAATTTGGACTACCCATAAATTTTATCGAATTTTTTCATTTTTTATTTTATCTTTCTAATCTTATCACACATCCATCTAAGCATTCTCATCCCATTACATTCATTTTTATCTTATGTTGTTTCTTAATAGCTTAACACTCAGTTTCATATAATAATGCAAGCTTTTAAATTATTTTATATAACTTTACTTTTAACTTTAAAGATATATAGCTATCACATAACATATCTGACACATTTCGTCATCTCACCTATCCTGTTTTGACATCTGCTTTTATCTCAGTATCATTTTAAATAATTGATCATAAATATTGAAACTAACTACTATTTGGTATTCCTTTACTATCAAACTTAATTATATTAGTACTCATTTTTTTATGACTACTAAACTTGTATTCTACATATTCAATTTTAGATCTACTCAATTTAAAACCTCAATACTCCAATATACTCATCCATCATTATAATTTTGTATTAAGGGCATCCAAAGTTTCAACTACTAAAACTATAATTGTCAGCAAATAACATACACCATAATACCTTATCTTGGACATATCCAATGAACTTGTTTTATAACAAATGCAAAAAGGAAATAACTTAGTGCTAAGTCTTGATATCATTTTGAGGTAATTGGGAAGTTATTTCTCATGCCCTCAATCGTCTTTACATTCATTACCACTCATTCATACATATTTATAATTACGTTGATATATTTTAAAAAGGCTCATTTTTTTATTAAGACTCATCAAAACACTTCTCAAGGAACTCTGTCATATACTTCTTTCAAGTCGATATATGTCATATATAGATCTTTCTTTTTTCTCTTAAAATCATCCAATAAAAGCCTTCAATAAATATCAATTAATAAATATATTTTAATTTAATTATACCTTATGAAGTTAATAAAATATTATTAATATTTTATAAAATGTTATGTTTATAGAATATTGAAATTATTAAATAATTATATAATATAATTATTTTGATATCTTTAAATACAAGATATTTAATTTTTAATAATATCAAACATAATAATTTTTATTTTTAAAAATTAGTACCAAGCATGGTAATACCAAACTACCTAAAAGTTAATACGAAACATAGTATATTGTACGTTTTTTTATGTAGCTTTTAAAAATTATCTAAAAAATTAAAAACTACTTAAAAATGTACAAAATATCTATGATTTTTTTTTAGTAACGAAATAAAAGAGATTTTCAGCGAAAAATTTCATTATTGTATTTAAAGGTGTATAATGCGCTTTCATCTAAATTTATAAATGATATTTAATAATTTTAAATTAAATAAAAAATTAAAAAGTTATTAAAAATATAAAAATAATTTAAACAAATATCAAATATAAGTTTATGTAAAATTATATTATTCGTTTTTAAATAAAATAATAAGAATTTTCATTATTTTGTAATAAGTGAAGATAATTTTTTAAATGGAAATACTCTTACGATTTTTTTTTTTATTTAGAAAAAGAGTTCGATAGTAACAAAATAAAAATTCAAGCACCACAAAACTAACTACGGCAGCTTTTATTGCTCGTCGCTAAAGTCGTTTTCGACTTTTCGTTATATATTTGGGAACCTTTCCCGAAATCAGCAACGATTCCGCTCCACAAATGGCGTCCATTGCAGCAACCTGGTTAACCAAAACCCTGATTTCTTCTTCTTCTACGCAAGCCCTGACAAAAACCCTTCAAATCCCACAATTCTTGTCCCTAAATCAACGCAGACGGGTATCTCCAACAAGAATCCTTCAGAAAGCCGTAAAAGCGTCGAGCTCGAGCCCAAGCGCATCCACTGACTCGTCTCCCGGGCTGTACTCTTCACAGCAATTCGAGCTCACTGCTCAAAACGTGGACCGGGTTCTGGAGGATGTCAGGCCTTACTTGATTGCCGATGGCGGAAATGTCGACGTCTTGTCTGTTGAAGATGGCATCATCTCTCTCAAACTCCAAGGTCTCTTTTGTCTTTTCTCCTGTCTTGCTCACAATTTTCTTTCATGATTAACGATTTATGTGCTTATGGCTATTTTATTTTTTGCTGGTTTGAAATTAGAAAAAAAAAGAGAGAAATTTATTAAGATGATATGTATTTTCCCACAAACAAATTACTAGTATTCAGGTGAAGTGAGACTTCACCGCTATTATTTTTTATGACAGGAGCATGTGAGAGCTGTCCTAGCTCAACAACAACCATGAAAATGGGGATTGAAAGAGTTTTGAAGGAAAAATTTGGAGATGCAGTTAAGGATATTCGACAAGTGTATGATGTTGAAGAAAAGGAAACGACTGTTGATGTGAGTTTTCTACTTAACATAAAGTTGTCAACAAGAAAATTGTTGATCGGGTAAATTGAAATTTGTATGGCATTCTTGACAACAGGCAGTGAATCGTCATCTTGATATATTGAGACCAGCTATTAAGAATTATGGTGGGAGCGTGGAAGTATTATCCATTGAGGGCGGGGAATGCACTGTGAATTATACAGGGCCTGAATCCATTGGATCAGGGATCAAAGCAGCAATCAAGGAGAAGTTCCCAGATATCGCCAATGTTGTCTTAACTGGCTAGGTTCATTTTAAAATAAGAAGCTGCAGGTTTTGATCTATTCTACTTTTTTCACGAGGACTGAGATTGCTTTCTTACGCCCGAATTATAATGCCTTTTTGTTTATGCATGTAAAATTTGGATTATAGATATGCAAAACCACGTGGCGACAGTGATTAAATCTTCGATCCTGATGCATGGATTATCATTGTCATGGTCATATATGTAATCTTGTAAACACAGTCAAGATTTCATTTGGAAATCAAAGTCATTGTCATCATTCGATACTCAGAAAGTTCCTTGCAGTTTTACTGAGTAGTAAAATTCCGTACCTGGTAAAGAAATAAATCCTGATCAGCTACTTAGGTAGACTTCTCTGTATCAGTAGCATCGATGGTTGATTGTACCCAGCGTGATAAACTGACAAGGAATGGGGTGTAAACAAAATAGCAGGTGACTGTCCAAGTGACTAGTCCCTGCATTAAAACAGAAACTCTCAACTTTGGATGTCATAGAAGTTCATGACTGATAAAGTTTCTCTTTAGTAATGTACTAGTAATTAATTACCTGCCCGAAGATTTCAACATTTGCTTGTGGGTAGTACCAGAGGTGGAAGAACCTGAAACAGAGTGAGCATCAATCAATTAAATCAATGGTAAATTGCTTCTACTAATTATTTTGTAGGTGATTAATTTACGCAAAAGAAAGCAATCTTACTTCATCAAGGGAATTTCAGCTAGGGGGCAGCATATGCCAATGACAGATGCCAGGGTAAAACCCAGCCGTGTCCTGTCTAGAGAGAACCATAAAAGCTCTGCCGCTGCAAATAATATGTAGGCCTCAATGTTGTCCGCTACTCCATTTTTATACATCTCAGCACTCAGTTCGATAAATAGTAACAATGCTCTGTGTTTAGTAGATTTGGTCAGAGCTACAAGGCAATAAACTTTGCAGTAATCAGAATTGATGTCTTTTTGGTTCCATTACAGTGCTTAGAGTATTTTTCGTATAAATTCTATCCGCGCCTTTATCCTGGTTATTGGTTAAGATCATGGAATGTAGAAACTAGAAGGCATAGATTGACTCACATCAGAGACCCAGACACTTTTTCCAGGCTTCCCTCGGGAACTTCTGAAGAAGCCTTCTCATCCAAGAAGAGTTGCAGCAACCCAACTGTGCAGTAGAACAATCCCAGCAAAGGAGGGACCTAAAACCATTGCAACACATAAGAAAACAGCCATCGGAAAAATAAAGAAAGGAAGAGAGTTTCTACAGTGAGTTAAAAAGCTTAAAGAAGACGTACAACAAAGAATCCAATTTACCCATATATTCGTGTGGAGAGGACCGATGTTTATTGCTCCATTTTGGTAGACCACAAGGTCAACGCTTGAATGAAGTCCATCAATAAGGGGACCCAAAATGAAGCCAGAACCAAAAAGTGAGAGAGAGATTGAAGGCCAAGAGCTTTTTAGACCTGCTTTGCTTTGCTTTCTTATACTGCAACAGTCTATAGACCGAAAATGTTTCAAATTATTAACTTTTTGCGAAGGTTTGGGAAGCGAACGAGGGCAGCTTAGAGCGATGAGGTTAGGCATGTTTATCCCCTCACGTTGGACAGGTGCTAAGTTTCGCTGCTACTAAATTTTCAGTTTGTAAGTTGGATATGGTATGGATCCAATTGAGCTGTGGGTACACACTTTAATATTAAATCAGAACCACTGAAGTAAAGTGCAGAACCAGAGGCCATGGTCCTTCGCAACGTAATGACAGGAAAAAGTACGGAATTGATGTGACGCGAGAGTTGAAACTGAGAGCCGGTTGTGCCTTCGAACAAAGGCTCACCCCTTTTTTTTTTTTACTGAAGAAGAAATCGGATACGCTCGAGGTCTTGAAGACTTTTGGAGAAACCAGCGCATTCAACAAAAAGTTTCCCGAGAAATGTTAATTTCTATTCTCAAACAGAAATATACTTACAAGGATCAACCGGTCAACATAAACGTAAAATTACAAAACAATTAGCACCTGACCTACCAAAAACATTTACAAAATCAAGATGTCCAATTCTCAGCTAAGGAAATCGGTGAAATATATGTTTCAGTTTTGGGGTTCTGATGCTTTATGCATATCACTCAAAAAGATAGACTTTTTCCTACTTGTGATTACTGACTATAAAGCTTAGACTTGGGTCAGAAAATAAGACTCGTAGTCAAGCCATGGAGATTCAGCATCCGCTTCAGATGTCCCAGGCAGATTAAAATGGGGCTGCCATGAGTCCGCATCTGACTAGCAATGTAATCGAATCCAGCTTGGAATTTGGAGAATCAGAAAAGCAATATCCTCAAATACTGGAGAAACATAGTAAAAGATAAAATGGAAAATCTACATGTACTATATATAACGTCGAAACTAAGGCCAATACCAAGCATGGAACATAGTCACCCTGCGGAAAACTCTTAACTTATATGAGGTCAATTTGCTTGCTCACCCTTGATTATAGATCTGAAGCCTTCAACTTTCTTGGCCTTTTATGGGCTGGTGAAGATGGAGTCTCAGATGCTCTTCCAGGTCCCTATAGACAATATCATAAGAGGAGATTATTTCTAAACTACACAAAATAAAGAGACACAAAAATACGAACACAAGCAAAAAAAAAAAGATTAAAGAACATTATTGACACATACTTTGCGTTTTTGCTCCCTTTTGCCAAGCCTATCACCTGGAATTACAATCAAAGATGAAAGTTATCAAAACCAGTAAATTCACTCATCCAAGTGAAAAACTACAGGAAAATTAGATATATTACCTCCAAAACTAATGGTGTCAGGGACAAATGTTCGATCCTGATCCACAGCAAGATATGATTTCTGCTCAATTAAAGGACTCCAAATTTCAAGATTTTAACAATTGAAAAGGGGCAGTCTTCTCATAATCTCACGTCTATGCAACTAGAGATACAGAAATCAGAAACTCAGATTTTCAACCTTAGGTGTGACTGGCATATCAACATAGGAACTATCATGGAATGATGAACCCTCCGCCTCCTTGTATTGCAACTGTTAAAAGACACATATCATCCATGAACTGCAGCACACCACTTCTAATACTGTGTACTACTAATAATCATAATCCATACACTATTAACACCTTAGCTTAATTACTGTACACTACCAATCAGTCATACTTCTTAATTTAGATTTTCCCAACTCAAAATCTAGAACCACACACTTTTAATTCCTTAGCTTAAGTGGCAAAAGTAAAATGAATGATCTAAAAAAGAAAAAATTATATTTGGGAATGAAAATGAGAAATACCATGACATAAATAACGTTTTTTCATAAATAATAAATTCATTAACAGGAACTGGGGATGTGAACCATAACTAATACAATAATTTTGCAGGAATGATTTAACTGAAGATCTTAATAAAGCTTGGCCCTCTGATGAAACCTAAAATGATACTGACAGTATCAGGCAAACGCTGGGACACAAAATGAGACACCTCAGATTCTAAAGTAAAACTCAGCCCAATCCTGACTCATAAGCATGGGCAATAATGCAAGAAAATCATTACTATTTGGAAGTGCATAGTTCATACGTTGTTCTCAGACATTCACCTAGAGACTATATATCACCGTTTAGTTAATAAAATTGCAAGTCATTCTTGTCTAAGTGAGAGGAAAAAGAATGCAAAGTTAACGAGGGAACAACACATTACTATTGCTAACAATCATCCAAGAAATATAGACACAACAGAAGCCTAGAACAGATCAAAAAGTGGAAAAAGAAAAAATTTCAAACATGACATATAAAATAAACTTCCATTCATCAGTTTAGTTCTAAGGGGAAAAAGGAAATATAAAATAGAAGGCAAAATACAACTTATGTAAATTTTCACACAACCATAAGCAGTACAGGGGTGGCTCTCTCTACATTGAATGACTAGATATTATAAGATAAGAGCACAATTAGGACTACTATTCTACAGATAATTTAAGATATGAAATACCTGTTTCTGGAGATTTAGCAGAGTTAGAATCTCTTTTCTTAATTCCAGATGCTCAGCACAAACAGCCTTTGTTGGCACCTTTGGCTTTAAATCAACCTGTAAAGATTAATTTAATTTTTACAACTAATTTCAGAAAGATAATTAAACTAGAATAATGAAGAAGGTTCACAAAATTTATTGAATTACAAGCAAATGCCTAAAAGTAAGGAGCAAAGGATCTACTTCAGCATGAATTGGCAATAATTATTAAAAGTAATTGATAAGACAGGATTAACTTCAAGCTGTTGATATGAGCAATCATCTCACAATGACAACAACTATAAACAAGCATGCTCAAGTTAAATAATGTCAGTAATACTGAATCTCTAGACCGTCTCCAATAAACCCAATTTCATCTGAAAACAAGAAAAGACTACGTGATTTCAGGAATCATAGATCGAATGTTGTTCCTTCGGAGAAAGAGTGAGAGAAGGAGGAATCTTCATGTATGAAACTTGCAATTAGACTAGGGTTGAAAAATGAAGTAACCATATAAGAGTTTTCATATCCGGTCATCATGAATACGATACAACATCATCCACCAATAACTGGTCTAAGAATACATCTGCACAGCATCAAATTTCAGGGAGCATAGACAAACCCCAAGATCTTGTAAGGCTTGCTCAACCCGCTTGATGGTCCGAAGTCCAGCAGATGAGCTTGCAGCTTGGACCATTTGCTCAAGGGCATAAGTTCTCAAATGTACCCAAAGCTGAGAATTATATGAAAGCAGTTAGATAGCTTTTCCACAAGAGCAAAGAATAATCAGTAACAAACATTAAAAAAATGTAAATATTCTTCCCTACAAACTTTCAAGGAGATGTAATGTTTGCCTCAAGTATTAATTTGACCATAAAAAACGTTGGAAGCAAACAGAAATTAATTCTTAAAGGGGAACACATATAGTAAGTCAGATTACATACATTTCCTAAAGACGGTCACTTCCACTTATTTATTTATTTTTATTCTTTGATGGAGACAGAGAAGAGAGAAAACTAAAGACCAAATGCCGCACATACCATACGCAAGGAAGCAAGAGTAGAGGTATTATCAGCCATCATTGTGGTGGAAGATGCAACAGCTGCAGAGGGAACTTGAACATTGGGCGGTGATATAGTATCTCCAAGAACAATATCTCTCTCAGTACTTTCAGGACAAATATCCAATGTGACAGGTAAATTAGGTTCTTCAGCAACCTGAACAGTATAAAACATAGAAAGCTATATTATTCTAGGTTGTGGAAAACACACGTGCAATCACATAGGCAAGTACACAAAAAAAAAAAAAAAACCACACACACACAGCCTTCTTTGATTTCTTTCTGAGTTCTGATTCGAGTATACTACATCATGTGACTCACTCAAATCAAGTTGAAAATCTTATCGCTTTAGGTTCCAATTAAATATTCAAGCATTACATAAACTGATAGAACAATTTAAACACCCTTTGCCATGGCAGTTGCAACTGCAAAATAGCAGCTTGTCATGCTAATACTTACTCGTGCAGCCATGCGTGACTCGGTTATTCTTTTTGCTTCAGCAAGTACCTGAAGAAACAAGCCACAGACCAGTGAAAAATCAAGTATGTATTCAACCAACAAGTCCACATGCAAATAAATGCCGGGAATGTAACATAATAAAAGGCAATAGTAAGTGCCAAAGCAAAAATATGTACCTCAGCATCTTTCCGCTCTTGATGCCTTGTTTGAGAAAGGACCATTGATAAAGCACGCTTGCGTTCTGTCTCTTGAGAAACATTGTACGGTTCCTACACAGAGAGGATAATATCAGAGATACACACTATAACAATTGAAAGGAAATAATAATCTAGTGTGATATAAACACTATAAATTTCAACATAAAAGGAAATCATTCATATAAAATGTCACTTATATAGCTAAAAGACCTTAACCAGAGGATGTCCTGCAACTTCACCAGAAGATGAAGCCCTAGAACTCAGTATGGCTCGTGACACTGCACAAAGATAGTGCAATAATCAACATGAAACCAAATAACATCTCAAAGATAAGTTGAAATAAAAATCCACAGATAATGAATACAAGTATATGCAAATTCAAATTGTAAAAAGAACAGCATGAAAGTGATCTGAATGATTAGCAATAGATAGTCTACAATTAGATAGAATACCGCTATAATAACGATCCTTCAGTTCCTCCACAGTCCGTAATGTCAGGAGCCTGTCAGCTATAATGATGAATCGGAGATCAAACTGTTCACACAAGTCAAACAATCGGTCTGTTTCTTCCTTAGTCCACGCCTAATTAACAAGGTAAAACAAAGGAGAATTAACCTGGAAAATTCAATTCATGGCACGCAAATAGGCCTTAGTTCTACCATCTAATTTTACTATTTCAGTTAGACCAAAAATAGTCACAGTGGTTGCCCTCCCTATACAAGTTAACCAAAGAAAAAAAGACTATTTTTAGACTAGTCATAATAAGGTTGGTCTCAACATTTATATTCGACTGGTTTGAAGACTAAAAACTATTTACCCGGGGAGATAGAAAATAGTGGAAAAATAAAAACAAGATCTGAACCTCAAGTTGATACATACTGGGTCACTTAAATACTTCTCATACTCCTCATCTGTGTATCTGATAACCTCAACAGACTGCACCACACCAGACAAAGAAACAAAAACATGTTCAATTCCATGAGAAAACAAACTGCATAAAAGGAAAAGACAAAGAAAAATTAAATACAGCGTGAATTGTTTTTAAGTGTAACATAGACATAGGGAAAAAAGGCAAAATTTGCACATACCTTGTTATACTTTGCAAAGGAATAATCACCTGCTGGTGGAACACCATTTACAACTCTCACCTGCAAGGTATAAGAGAGATTAAGACCTTAAAAATGCTCGATTAGTGTAGGGTGAATTTTTTTTTCTAGAAACAAATACTTACCCAGTGGTAAAGTTGCAAATTATCCTTTAGGGCAGAGCGTGGGAAAGGAAGCCACTGCCATGTGATCTGAAGAGAATTTCAAAAACATTAAGAAACCCCAAATTATAGCATTGACCACCCATAAATATATCCATGAAACCCAAAATTTTAATCTTTGATCATTCATAAAAGGTTTTTCTTTTTTTTTTTTTTGCATTTGTTTTCAAATGTACATTATTTTTTTGTCTTTGAAATTAAAATGCAAGCAAAAAAGTACTCTAACAAGCAAATGGAGTGTTGGCAAAACCTTCTCGCTAGATGGTGGGCGTCGTTTCAATTCAGAGGCGTCAATTGAAGGCATAAGCGGAGCCAACCCGCCAGTAAGGGCATAAACCTACAAATTCCACCCAAAAACATCTAAAAAAAATAAAAGAAGCCGCTCTTTCACTCAGTTCAAGCTAAAAAAAAAAGACATTAAAACACAAGCGATTTTCTTTTTACCTCGCGAGCAATGCCATCGGGTTTTCTCTGGGAATCTCTCTGGGGACGTGTTTTCTTCTCCTGAGTTATTGCCAATGGAGTTTTGGGCAGTCCGAGGATGTCCTTCGCGTCCATGCTAATTTTTCAACCCTTCACCCAGAAATTTAATTAGGGTTTTTACGATCCATCCGAATTCGCAACCTCTTCTGGGGAAGAAGTTGGCTCCTTTCCAGGAAATTAGGGCTTCAATGGGATCGATTCTTGGAATTTGGAGGAAATTTCTAGGGTTTTCTTCGAGCGCCAAAGTTCTTGTTTTTGAGCGGAAAACATGCAAGGTTTTAGATTGGGTCAGTTGCGGGTCACTGACAGGTTCGGGTTCCTATGGTTAACTGAGAACCGCCTCGTCCAGTTCCCATCTATTTTCTTTTCTTTTTTATATTTTACAAATTATTTTATACTTTTTTTTAATATAAATTTTTTATAGTGATGAACAATCTAAATGTTTCATTTTAGTAGTATTTATTATTTTATATCATAATAATGCTTATTTATATTTTTTTATGATAATCTATATATAGATCATTTTAAAAAATATTGAATACAAATTATAGATGGTTAGTAATTATTTTTATTTATTTATATTAAGAAAATAATATAAAAATTAGTATGTATTAAAAAATAATTTAAAATTATGAAAATATAATAAAAAAGCTATATTATAATTTATAATGGAAAATTTTGGGCTTACAATTGTTGGAGGTCGGGTCCACAAGGACAGCCCATTAGCTGGGTCACCTCCTTTTCTTCATGTTTTATATTTACGCCATCACCAACATCCACTGCCTCCCCTTTCTACTCCTCTTTCATCTGGCTCCTTCTCTCCCTGCGGAAAGCAAAACTGAGATTTCTTCAAGGTATGGAAATATGCTCAATTCTTTTGTTTTTCCTTTTTAATTCATGGGTTGTGATCTGCTCTTTGTTTGCAGCAGATAGAATCTCATAATCAAACAAACTCGTTTGTTTTTGTCAAAAAAAATTTTTTTTGCTATGCTAAATATGTTAGTATGACAGTATCTCTTTAGAAAACACAACATAGATTCAGTAAAAACTAAAGAGCCATCAGCCATCCTTCTTTAGGCTGCCGGCTGTCCCTATAGTAGCAATAAAAGCAACAGAGAGAAGAAAGTGAACACCCTCATGCCCTTTTTCACTGTTCTTCTTGCGTTAATTCGCTGCCTCTACTTCTAAATAAGCAGCGAATAGTAGGGTTTTTTTTTTTTTTTCTCATCGATTATGCATAAAATACTTGTTTTTCCATCTCAGTTTTTAACAAGTTTCAACTTCTGCGACTGCAGGTTGATTAACAGGTTTCAAGATATCATCATCATGGATGCTGTCGTCGCTATAACTACCATGGTTGACAGCTTAATCCTGAGGATATTCTGCAGAAGAGAAATCTCCATGGACGATGATCAATGCTTGACAAGCTTCTTCATGGCAAAGGCTTGTTGACCGATCTTTTGGTGCTATCCTACCTGAGCTTATAAAAAGAACACTACCCTCTTTTTCACCTTGTTTCCTCTTTCTCTGATCCCCACCATATTCTTTTCTTGACCTTGTAAGGCCTTTTCTTGACCTTGTAAGACCCCTAGCTAAATCTGCTACTCTCGTTATTAATATCTTGATCGATTTCTTATCAGAATTTTCATTAGAGAGCAAAGCAATTAGCATCCGATGTTCCCACCTAACTCACCATCTCCTTCTCTGTCTATCCCTCCTGAGCTAGCTATATAACAAACAGATCGCATTGCAGAGAAACCTAGAGTTTCCAAATGTCAAAATCCCCTATATATATTTCTTAATCCTGAAGCCATGACCATTGCAGTTGCAGCAGCTAATATTATAGCTTCAAAAATGGCATGCAATGCAAAGTTTTCATGTCACTGCGCTTCATGGGTTATTTAGTTACTTTTATTGTAATTGAAATAAAGGCAAAAATGTAACTGATCGTACTCAAATGATTGTAAGGTTTTTTGCTCATAATCTATCAAGGTATGTAATTTTTTGTACTCATCTGACAAAGCATTGAATTCCACTTTGTATTGGTATGCCTGCAGGAATTTGAGTTCATGCAGGGCTAAGAGTTGTCAGATTGTTTGACATTTTGTTTCTCTTAACGGGAACTTTTTTTTATTTTGCCATTGAAAAGTCACCATTATTCTCTCAGATTTTTTTTGAAGGGCCACCACCTCGTGATTATTGCTGGAGGAATATGTAGTGATATGATCAAATGCATAATTGATGTTATTGTTTGTAAAGCCTGTGAGGTGCGGATGGCTTTCAACGCCTTTGTGCGTACTTCTTCTGTAATTGGTCCTCTTGACACATCAACGTCCTTTTGCTGTGCCTGAGAGTCAGGGCTCCATTTGAAAGAGTCGATATTGAAAATAATAATAAAATTTATTATAATTATAATTAAAAAAATTTTAATAAAAAATTTATGTTGATTTAATTTTACTGAAATTAATATTCATATTTAATTGAAGGTCTTATCTAGTGAGGTGCGATCCAAACTATTACTAAATCTTGGAAGGCAAATAAAAAAACTAACAAACAAAAGGAGCAGGCCTACTGAATACTGACTACCCGCAGAAAAAAAAAAAAAAAAAAAAAAGAGGAAAAGGAACAGGGATATTGATAAAATTTTGACAATTGGAGGACAAACAAGCCGACAGATATAGCGCAACTTGTCATGTAATGCTGGCTGTAGCATTTTCCATTTAAAAGTCGTGGCTATCAAGTGCAGTACTGCGTGCTAGACAACTTTTTCATATATAATAGGCACAGAGTCGTCTTCCTACTCTTAATCCACTCAGATTTGAAGAGTATACTTTATTCAATGGATATTATAGTAATTTTGCCGCCAAATAAGATCGTGTTTGAAAATGTACAGATTCGTCAACACCATATGACATATGAAATGTCAATACTGCTTTCAGCTAACTATGTGGTGTCTATTGCTATGCAATGGCGAATGGGGTTAATTAATCTGATATATTTTCCCTAGTTGGCTGAGTATTTTTTTTTATATAAAAAATAGATTATAAATATTATAAATTAAACTTTAAATTTATTGAATATTATTTTTTAAAAATAATTATATGAATAAATTGAATTAAATTTAAGTTTTTAATTTTCAAGCAGGAAAGATTGAATGGGCTTTATGAGAATCACTTTTACAAGTACATTTCAAAGGATGATGCGAAGGGTGAGGGAAATGGGCAACACAACACCATATAAAAAAAAAGAAATAGGAAAAGAAACCTATTGTTATATCCCCTTTCAGAGATATTGCAATGCCACTATGATTTGTCTCCACGGGTTCGCTGCCTCCCCTTTTTCCCGTCACTGGTTGAATTTAGGTAATGATAATCATGGGTGCAGCACTGGATTCCATCACTTTTGTGAAGTGTCAAGCACGTTTGAGCTCATCTTTTCAAAAAAGCGATTTCCATCTTTCGGATAACATGCTAACATGGGGCACATTTAATTGGAAGATACTGTCAATTTTCTGCTCATCATATAATCTAATTCTTCTTTCTATTGGGCAAAAGTAGAAAATGACGCCTTCATGACAATTTTCAATCATCTTTGCCAAGATCTTGAAAAAGAAAAAAGTTTCAGGCCCTATAGTCAATGGCCTAACAATGAAAACTTAAAGGAGAAATTATTTCAATCGTGTAGTTTCTGTCAAGATAAAGGAAAAAAATAGATGAAACTGGTTTGCTACCTATGCACAGATTGTTTTATTTTATTAACATTCTTTTAACAAATTTTTAATCAATTATTTTTCAATCATAACGAAAATCACATATTTTTTTAAAGTGACTTAATTTGTAATATAGCTAAAGATATCAATTTTATTTATACTTTATGAGAAATTTAAATTTTTATCCGAATGCATATAAGAATAGATAATATACTGTAAGTATGAGGATAGTGACGGGTATGGATATAATTTGGAATTTTTATTAGTCATGGAGATGTGAATATAACATCTGTCCTATATTCGTACATTGCCTTACATATATTTATGCATGTTTAGTATATATAATTTTTTATTAAATAATATAAATTATTATTATAGATTAATTAAAATTAATATATATTTATTAACAAAAAATATATTAATATATGTTTATAAAAAATTACTTAAATATATAAGATAAAAATAAAAAAAGTTTAAAAGAATTTAGTTTTTATATATATATTTTTTTAACTTATGGATATAGAGATTATCCATACTCATTAAACTCATTAAATACATGTAGATATGGAAATAAGGATAAATTTAAAATATTTATTATATATGGATACAAAATTGAATATAATATAAAAATTTGAGGATGCAGATGAAAAATTTTCTACCATAGCCATACCTTACCCATTGGCATTTTTAGATGTAGCAAGTGAAAAATTACTTATCATTTAATTTAGTTATTTGTTATCTATTTAATAATATAAACATAAATAATTTATGTGTCTAACAAAATTATTTTAATGATGACACATAAAATAATTTTTAATTTTATGTTATTTATCAAATAAATATACTTAAAAGATTATTTGTTATTCAAAATTTTTAAATAAAAAAAAGATAAAATCATATAAATCTAATTATTTATGCTTGAAATTAATTTATAATTATTATTTTAATTTTTACACATTTAATCTTTGTAATAATATTTTTAATTTATAAATTTTAATTTTCTTACTTTAATTTTAATTCAATTATTTTTAATAAAAATTTCATTTAAGTCTTCTCACACAGACAAAAGCAGACCGCTTTCCGACATTGGATAGGTGGGCTACACGTGGATTTTTGGATCCGACATTACATTCATGGATTATTGACCCTAAACATCCTTTGGGTGGCTGTATTTTAACTTTGGTTGCTGTATTTCCGAGACCTGTTGGCCCACGTTAACTAGGTTAAAGGATTTGAAATGAAGAAATAAAAAATGGGCTGTTACCTGTCCTTCAGCTTGTTAATATCAAGGGGCATCCCCAGAGCCCCATAATTTGCTTTGGATCCTTGAGTTTGCTTTTTTATTTGCTACAAGTAATCTGATGGTAGCCCTTACTTCCATTAGCTAGGCTTTGAACTTTGAAGTGATTGCACCTTTTGGGGTTATCTTGACCTGATTTATGTTTTCCCATAGAGATTCCAGGTCATGGGAAGCCCATAGACACCCATCCTTCGGAGTCCATGTCTCATCCCCTTCGGTTAGAAAGGGGAATTTCATCTTTATATATTACACTGCCAAACACCCATACGTTTTGGTGCCTCCTAAAAATAGTAGCAGACTGTAGCTTCAATGAAAATTGGTACTTGATATTACA